TTCACCGTGGTGATGACGGAAAGCGCTGTAGCGCTTGGAAGTATTACCGAAAGGGAAGGGGGGGGGGGTGGCAGGGAATAATTGGTATAATGCGATCGAACTCTCTTCAATTAACCTTCAAATAATTTGCAAGGCCATTGAGTACAGCTTTGCTTTCAAAGCGCAGCATATTCTTTTTCGCTTGCGACAGTAAGATGATCTCTGCATTTCACACTTGGTCAAGGTGACCGGTGGTTATCGCGCTGCAAACAGCTGCTCCGCAAAGTTGTGGGTGTAAACGATGTTGCCCACACTACAATGAAAAAAGATGTGTCATTGTGATGCATATGGCCTCATACTCTGGGGCGCCGAAAGTTGCGCTTCTTGACTTCTAAAACGGGACAAACCCTTTCCCCGTAGAAGCCTACGTGCAACATGTCGACATCAAAGTTGCGGTCAGATTTCCACACCTGAAAGCCCTATAAGTATTATAGACTTAAACGGGTGTGGAAATCTGACCGCGCTGTACCTGCCAGGCAAAATCGACGTGTCAATCCGATCTGCTGTAGACCGCAAGTGTCATGGTGGAACAGAGTAAGAAGCGTCAACTTTAGGGTTCTTGAAGGGTACCTTTTGTGTTTTTCAGAAGGTGCTGAACATGTACATGTATAAGTATGTATGATAATCCAATGTTAGTTGTTAACTATATAGCAGGACAACGTTTATGTCGAAGCCAATAACATGTCTCAATATTGGTTTTAAACACAAGGCTAATACCTAGTAACAACGCACTGAGTTGCCGAAAGTTGCGCTTCTTGACTTCTAAAACGGGACAAACCCTTTCCCCGTAGAATCCTACGTGCAACATGTTGACACCTAAGTTGCGGTCAGATTTCCACACCTGAAAGCCCTATAATTATACACTTAAACGGGTGTGGAAATCTGACCGCGCTTACCTGCCAGGCCAAATGGGTGCGTCAATCCGATCAGCTGCAGACCGCAAGTGTCATGGTGGAACAGAGTAAGAAGCGTAAACTTTAGGGTTCTTGAAGTATGTTTACTTGTGTCTGTGTACACGTTTACGCCCGCGCATATATGTCCATGTATGTCATTTTTTTTCACACACTCGTTCGCGTCAAACTTGGTGGTCGCAGCGCGTTAGTAGGAGAGTGCGCTTGGGATTCAAGGTAAGCGCGCACGATCCTTGAAGCTGTACAACTCGTGTATATTTGGATGAAGCATGTCTCCTATTGCAGAATCGGTCCGGTCAAAGTAGACACTGCGATCTCTAATGGTGCACTGGTCATGTTCCTGTTCTTACGGTGTCCCGATCCAGTTCTGATGATGCGCCGCTCGATGTCTGTCACAGTCTTTGAAGCTTCCTTTACTTCAACAGTCAGCTGTGTGACTATGTGTGATATGAGAAAGGCCACAGTGTATGTAGACACTTTGATTTGCAAGCGGCCACCACCAAAACAATTAGGTATTTGTTTGGTGCTCGTATAAGAATGAAAGCTCTCTGCAACTGCGAACAACGTTGTTTCTTTTTATCTGAGCGAATTGCATTGATCCTGAAGCCTTTTGCCTCATCTACGTCTTTCGGAGCGATGATGTACACCGGCTCGGCTCAGTCCTGCGGAACGAGGTAACGTAAAGGGTGTGCTATGTGCCTTCTGTGCGGCTGGGCGCTTCTGGGCACGTTTGGACACAAATGTCTTGACTTTCAATTTTTCCGCTTTGCGTGCCTCTTCGACCGGCAGAATAGCCTTCTGAACGCTTTGCCTTGCCCAATTGCTCCATTCCTGCTGCTGCCACAAGCCTGCACCAACTCGCCTGGCCAAGACTTGACCGGATGACATCTGTCTTGCCGTTGGCGAATACAAGGCTGTGTTGTGGGACAGCAGCTTACCAAGAACTAGGATGCTCAGCTTCAATCTCAACGTACTCTGGTGCAAACATTGGGTCTGACGAAACCAGCCGTTGATCTCTGCGTGCAGGCTCTCATTGCTCGTTGTGCCAGTCGGCATCAACACATTAGCACTCTTGGACATCATCGCTCTGACGCGGAGATTGTTGAAGAGCCACCCTAATCTATCCGGCTGGGCTGCCTGCCATAGCAAATCATAAACGTGCTTTCCTTCTTCAGTCTTGCGCGTAACTTCAGCACGATAGGCAGCACTGATCGCTGCTAGGCATTCCACAAAGGTAATCTGGCTTTCCCACACCTTGATACTGTTTACACCATTCAAAAGCCTTCGAGCTTTGGAGGCAGGCATGGTACCACGCACAATCTGTTCATGCAATGTTTGCTCATAAGCACTCGCATTGCCAACATTATTGCCATCGAAAAAATTGCCCCATGCATCTTGCCCAAGCTGGTCATCCTGATTGGCAAATTTAGCGAGGCAACGTCGCAATGCAGCAGACCCACTAGTTTTCTTGCGGGCTGAGGCTGATTCATAATGCATTGCGAGATGTACTGGGTCCAGCATCAACGCTTCAAGGTTTGGCAGGACTCCAGAGAGCACATGGTGCAATCGATGGCTGGGCGCATCAGTGGCCACAAACCGCACTTGCAACAAAGCGTCTTTACTCAAATGTTCTGTGAGTCCCTGCGCAATATCATCAGACCCTTCACCGTGGGCAGCAAACATTGCAACGACGGCTCCAGTCCGCCCGCGAACTGTGATAACCCGCCGAATGCTTTCACTGTCTTTGAAAGCAGCCTCTTCTCGCAATTTCTTTTTGACATTGAAGGGTTTCTGCCCCAGTATAGTCAGGCAAATACGGAAAGTGCCATCAATAGAGATGCTGATGTATTCTTTGTTGGCCACACATTCCGCATCGATTGATGACCGAAGAGCTTTACATCTCGCAGATTCAAAGACGTCTTCTACCAAAGGCCACCAGCGAGAAGTATGAGATGGAAGTAAATTTGCCAGCGCAGACCCATGTCGCACAGCATCAAGCATAAAGCGTGGCCAAATACTCTTCACCTGCGCAGCACCAAGCAACACAAAACATAATGTGTTGAAACAGATTTTGTCTTTTCAGAAGCCGGCCTTTGCATGGTGCAGAAGCAACTCTTGAAAAAGCTGCTCCGCGAAGTTGTGGGTGTAGAAGATGTTGCCCACGCGGCGAACATGAAGATCCTGCCCTAGTCGCTTGCAATTCACGAAGGAAGGGCCTGGTGAAAGCGGGATACACGCATGATTTGTGAAGTGTTCAATACAAAAGAACTTAGCTACCTAATGCATTGATTACACCGCACCCTCGTTCACCCATGGCCTGTGGAATCAAGAACTAGTCTGATCTGCTTGTCAACGGCGTTCATCGAATGGGAAAGAGCTGGCTGCACTTGCTCGCGCAACAAGGCAGCACTGCGCTTCAAGTACATACCTTTCCGGTCGCCAGCAATCATATCTGAGTCGTGGAGCGAAAGTATAACCTTCACTTGCTTCGTGCCAGAACAGCAGAATTGATTTTTCTTCACGTGGTATGTTTCCAGATGCTGCACAACACGGCTGGGGCTCTGGAAGCACCGCCATGGACAGCAAGGGCATGCGAATCCACAGCTTCCTTTTTTGAATTTCACCTGCCGCAAAGCGTCTGACACTTCACGCTCCAAGTCCTGAAGCAAGAGGGTATCGACCACCACTACTCCTTCGTCTTCAACCCACTTGAGCTCTGCCACCTCATTGATAGTATCTGCAGAGCTGGCATCACTTTCGGTGCCAGCGCAGCCGGAATCATCCGAAGCAACCTCTACAACATCTTCAGATGGCGAGCCATGTACAGACACACTTACAGGAACTGTTTGCACCACAGGAGTCGGGCAAACAGCCGGAGCAGCTGCAGGCTTCTTGCGCACTGATGAGGTTGCGGGTCTCTTGTGACCTGCTGCTTCCAAACTCAGTAACGAAGCCGTGGCCGCAGGGCCTAGCTTGTCCAAATCTTCCCCTTGCCCCTCTTCGTACACACGGAAGAAGACACAGGTTGCGCTGTCGACTCCGCTTCCCACTGCCTGAAGAAGGGACGTTCGGTCGATAGTATATTCACAATCGGTGCTTGAATGACCCGTGGTAGATACAAATGGAGTTAGTGTTTAGGGTACTTATATCTAGGTTTGTAAAAGTTAGCTAAGTCTTTACTAACCATTTAGCTAAGTGATTTATTATCCATTTAGCTATGTATTTAGCTAACTTTTAAGCTAGTTTAGTAAGTG